GGCCACTGTCCACACCTGTCACCTATAAGATACTGCTTTCTGTCACATCTACTCCACAATGACATAAAAATTGTGATATATGTGAATTTTCTGTCAATTATAAACAGAACATTCACAGCAAGAAAAGAAGAATCAGCTATATAATATAACCATCCTGTGCAGGCTAATTAGAAATAACGACTAAAGATTCAAGGACAGAGAAAGATAATAGAGTACATGAAAACAATTTTTTTATGCTCATAGACTGAAGAAAAGTATGTTGCAATGCATGGATTTTTTTGGTCCTTTTCAACTCTGAACTTTTTGTTTTGTGTTTGTCAAATTTATGTACATCACATGCACATAACTTGAATATTGACAACTAGACACTTTAGAAAACAAACCAGAGACCAAAATAAGCATTGTCTGATAGAAGTCCGTTTCTTTTTTTTTTTTTTTTTCTTTTTTTTTTCCCCTGAAGATTCACTATTTTAAATTGATAAAGTTTGAAAATTTCAAGCTAATTTTGGTCTATGGTTGAGGAATCACAACTTGGTCAGAAGCTAAAAAATTCAGTATTTTAGTGGATTTAGAATGTCTGCATCTGTTAACCCACTGCACAGTTGGTTTGGTTTGTAGGTTATATTTTCTGTTTGGAAAAAAGCAGTCTAAGTATCTCAACATTTTGAAACCATAAGTATCTCGGTATCTTAAGACTTTCTATAAGTTTGTTGTGTGAACTGCCATTTTTTAGTCCACCATGGTACAATACCCAGAAAATGTTCTATGATATCTTAAATTTGCTGTTTACATTTTTGCCATGTTTATCATGGGATAAAATTATCATTATATGGAGGGGATATTATTTATTTTTTTTAGAGAAAATACATATTCAGATTTTTCAAATATTCCATTCCACCCTCCTCTTTCACTCTTAATTATCAAATGAGTACATTTAAATTATACAGAAAAAAAAACTTTTGTTAGTGATTATGTCTGGTTTAATTTTGTAATGATTAGGTAAGTTAAGTTCCTAAATAAGGGTGGGTGTTTTAATTTTGTGTCATTAACCTTTTTTTTTTCTTTTTTTTCTTTTTTTTTAAGGGGGGGGGGGGGGGGTGTCTCGAGTCAGTGTATCTAGATCAGCTTATTAATTTTCCTCTAAATAAAATAAAATACTAATTTTTTTTTGTAAGGATGGATAAAAGGTGTATGAAAGGTTGCTGAAGTAAAACTGTCCTTTTTTTGCTTAAACATCTTCTTAGAGGATGAAGTACAGTATTCCTTGTGGTTAATTTGCAGAGATATTTTACCATGGTAATATTGAAGAAAACATTCATTCTACAACAAAGAGTGAACAAAACACTGTCCGCAAAAGTGATGAACATTTTCAAAGTTTGGTCAGACAACGTGAAGCATGTCAGTCCATTGATTTTCAATCTGATAAGGAAGGATTTGAATGCCATATTTGCAAAGCTACTTTCGATTTCAAAATGGACTTGCGCCATCATATGAAAAATCTTCACTCTTTTACTGAGAGACCTTACACGTGTGAAATTTGCTTCAAGATGTTCCAGTCACCATATCATTTGAACCGACACCTCAAAATGCATTCGAATCTCAGAGAATTTGAGTGTGAATTATGTGGAAAGCGATTTAAGCATAACTACCATGTGAAAAATCATCGATGTTACCGTATTATGAAAATGAAGGACTAGACAAAACTTTTAAAAACTTTAAAATTGTGATCAGTATTTATAATATGAATGTAAAATATGTCGTTATATGTGATATATTAAGCCTGTTGTTACTGTTATTGGTGTAAATAAAATTATTTCTAGTTTTCCAATGATTTTTTAAAACTTCTCTAAATTGAAAATGACGTGCAAGTATTGATAAGATTCGTTGTGCATATATTACATGACTGCCCCACCAGTGCTCCTGAACTTAGCCTGTAGAAAACCGATAAATGATGATGGCAGATTTCTGACCAGTTTTCCTATCCTTGTAGGGGACGTTCAGAGGTTGCAGACATTTCCACGCGATAAATCAGATGTTGGGAGCGAAACCCAGTGGGGAAGTGCACCTAAACATTCGCAAGCCGAAAAGACTTCTATTTATTATCCGTACACTGACTCCTTGTACTCCATACCAACAAGGAGGGCAATTCTCTTCACATGTAATATCTGTTACAAAGGATTCACTTCAAAACTAGGATATGATAACCATATGAAGCAGAAACATGGTTCCCGAGATCAGTGCTTTTCGTGTAATGTTTGTGGAAAGATATTCCCAACTCAAAACATGCTTTCTATTCACCAAAGAGTACATTCAGACGACAGACCTTTCGAGTGTGCGGAGTGTGGCAAAGGGTATAAACACAAAAAAGACTTGAAAACACATCGCTGTGCGCAATCGCGAGTACCTAAGTAGGATGAAGGATTGTAACTTGTGTGATGCCAAGTTCTGTTTATATTTGAATTTTCTAGAGTGACAATTTTTTGAAATACATGGATGAAAGACCCAAATGGACGTCTTTTGTTGAAAAAAAATGTTGTTCCCTGTATTTTCATTTCATTAAATTTTGAAATATGAACTGATCTTGTCGGTGTTTTTATACTATTTGACGAGTTATTTTGAAGAGATGCATCTTCTATATTGAATTCTGTCTATACTGCATTCTGTCATCTCCACCTATTTGGATTTTACTAAAGCACGGACATGTATATTTTTTCCAGAGCGTGTGAGATACGAAGAGACATTTAATGTTACAGGATCGGACTCGAGATCCGGAAAATATTGGCCAATGCGCTTCTGGAAAAAAGAGGAAGCTGCAAAATCCCGACACACCTCCGACACTTCCATCTTGCCAGCAAGTTACGAATCCCGACACATGATGGTTCAAGTCCAAGGGTCAACGAATAAAGCATGTGTGGTTTGTAAATGGGACGGTGTAAAAACTGCCACTGGCTTGCCTACCAAGTCCTACTACAGATGTGAAGCCTGCGATGCTTGTCTGTGTAGACCTCAAGTCCGAAATTGTTTCGAACGATACCACAAACACATGAATATAGACATCAGTGATATGATGATATAAAATTCTGATATAAGCATGTGCAAATTTTCATTTTACCCTTAAGTGGTGCATGTATTTGTGATATACTTTGATGTACTGTTAATTCCACGTATTTTTATCCCAATTATAATTATTACCCCTTTATTACTCATTTAAGTTTTATGTCTTGGACTGTTTATTTGTGACAATAAATAATCTTTCTTTTAACCTTTTTATTAATTAATTTATTTTTTATTTATTCTCAGTGTATTGAATTCTTACTTTAAATGAGTTGAAGGGTTCAACGTACCTCAGAATTTATAGATTAGCTTATTGTGTTGTAACTAAAGCACCTGATGTATTTCTTTGGACGACAGGATTTTGGGGGGTAGGCAGTAAGATTGCTTACGGTGATAAAACTATCGTCACATGTTTCAGTATTGTATCTAAAGAATGGACGCCGCGATAAGCAATTTTTACTGTATTGCAGGCGTGGACATGATGGATGATAGATGGACAGGCCCTACGACCAACGATAGCGACCTGCCACTTTTAGTGACTCTTCGGAACATAGCAGCCTCGTTTGTGATTAAAAATGTCGGTCTTCCGCATCGTGCTGTGTCAACTCACATGCAGAGGACATGTTTCGTGTGCAAACAGTTTGGACGGCGCATTCAAAGTAACATTTCTGGTTTTGACAACAGAATGAAAAGGATTTGTCGATCTTCGTATAAATGCGAATGTTGTGACGTTAGTCTTTGTATTGGTGATCGTATGTGCTTTCAGCAATTTCATGAGATGTTACGTACCACTCAAAATCCGAATCTTTTCTGGGAAAATCCGCATCGAAACGCATTACTTCCACATACTTTACTGTAATTTAAGTCTTGCATATGTTTAATGGTTTTTATGCTTTACTTTTGTTTGTAAATTTTAAATAAAATCAATAAATTCAACTGGAAAATATTGATGTTGTAATGTTTAATTAAGAATAGTTCCTTAAACAGCAGTTTAATGCATTACAGTAACACCTGACCATATACAGGCATGCTGGAAAATAAGCACGGTCATTGTTGACTTTTCAATCTTGTTAACTTGTGTTCCTCCTTGGTGCTCATAAGAAATGCCGTGTATATAGCTTAGATGGTTTACAGTACTTTGATTACTTATTTCAGGCTTTGTGCGAGAGAAGGCATCACTAGATGGTTTTCGGACTTGCGATGAACGCTTGCCATTCGAACACTCGAACAGTTACGATCTGTATAACATTCAACGACTGGCTTCTAGTGCCGTTAATCTACACAGTGTTCAACATAGACTAGTTCGAAACGAAGACTATAAATACAAAGTTTGTTTTCAGTGTCACAGAGACAAAACAAAAACCAAGAAAGGATGGCGTGTGTACACCCATTTCAAATGCGAACAGTGTAATATTCCTCTCTGCACCGGCGCTAGGGGGACAAGGAGATGCTTTGAAATATTTCATCGCGAACAAGGAATATCAAATATCTTAACCGATTATGATCCGCGATTATTGGCTAAGTACGATGTTATTCCCTTGACGAGATAAGATTGACGATTTCTTGGATTGCCATTTATACAGAAATTTAGCCTGCATTGCATTACATTACATTGTATGTGGAAAGATTTCATTTTTTTTTTACAATGGCTGAATTTAAGATGTCTGATACAAAATTTTATGTCTAAAGATTTTAAAAATTTCTTAACTTGCATGGGTTAGCGTGTTTGAAGGTGATGGATTTATATTTTTATGTATTTTTAGAAAATAAATTTTTCGTACCCCTCTTAATGTTTTCCTTTATTTTTTTCCTTAATTTGGATTATTATTATTATTTTTTGGCATTTAGCTTTGCTGTTATGGATATATTTTAATATTTAATGATGAACGCAGATCTTTTGATGATATGTTAATTTGTTGTAAATAAGATCCTCATTTTGATTACAGCAAACAAGATTTCCATGAAAGAAGAAGGGGCCAATGCAGAGGGGACCGAAGAAGCAAAAGGAAGCACGGAGGAGGGTACTGCCGTCCCTAAGATTGATCCCAAATTATCGAAACGTTCCAAAGAGAAGGCAGAAAAACGGAAATCGATGCAGAAAATGATCAACATGGATAATTACGCTGCCATGGAAAAGTACCTCTCGTCCATGCAGTCAGTTCACCAGTCTATGTTGTCTTTGGCTACTTTGCCAATAAACGTCACCGGACCAGACGGCCGCGCTTTAATCTCACAAATGAAGACAACAGATTGGCCACTGTTTAACGTGGGGGGCGGCACTGCAGTCACTGATGTAGATTTCTCGCTTTCCCCTCAAAACGAGGCCGAAGTTTCCTCTGCGGATCCATTGGCACTGAATTTGGTAAAAACGGAATGCAAGAACTCTGTGGGGCAGTTGAGGACGGGATTAGATCGATTTGGAGAACACATGCACGCGCTGGTTCCAATACCTGAAGGAAAGTACAAAACCTGTAGTTACTGTCAGAAAGTAAAACACAAAACCAAATCGGGTTGGTACTGCTACACCACATACCAGTGTCGTAAGTGTGAGATACCATTATGTAAAAGAAATAAGAATTGTTTCATGTTCTACCATCGAGATTTGGGCATTCCTGAGCAAGAATATATCCCTTTTGCTTGAACATGTTTGAAACATTGTCTTAAAATCGTCTCTTAGTGTTGTATAGTATCCATGTGTAGGAGGTAGTTTTTGTCTGATGGATATTGTGAGAGATTTTTGAAATGCTATTGTGCCATGTTTATTATTATTATTTTTTTTTATATCAAAACTGCTGTATTCGCCAAAGGAAAAAACAAAGAGTCGATACTGATGTATCGGGACCTAATTCAAGTGCTTACAAAGATTTTATGTTCTCATTTCACACATTTTAATGCTTTATGTCTTAGTGGTTGTTAATTCATACTTTTCACTTTATCGTCATTGTCATTTTTTCATGGCGTCAGACTTAACATTGGTCGTCAGGTTTTTTTGGACGACCCTGTACTTATAACTCACGTGAGTCCTGCTGCTTGTTCAGTGTCATTGATATTATCCTCAGAAAGTGATAATATACTTTTTATATTTTTTTTTCAAAATATATCAAAACTATTTTATTATTATAGATATATAACTATTTTTCTCAAAGAGAGAGATATATATAATGATACAAATGTTTTTTTTTTATTATTTGAATTCAATTATTGATTTTAACAGAAACCATTGCCATATTTTTACAATTTGTTGTGGTAAAATATAACTACGCCAGGTTGTTTGACAAGTATTATTTTTAGAGTATTGTTTTTGTCCATGTAGGTTTCGTTGTATTTTGTAAATTGTATGCATAGAGTATTACTTTTTTCATGATGTATATATATAAACTGGTAGATTTTTTTGTGAAACAAAGCTTATACAGATTTTGAGGTATTTTCCGATTTTGTTTACACTTTTGTGTATTGAGCTTTTACATGTTCAACTGCTTATAAGTATTTTTTTCTCTAATATCAAAAGACCTGTGTCCATTTTGATGCATTTTTTACAGTGTGTTGCCAAAGCTTTATTTAACATGGTAATCGTTCTAGGGGTTTTGTTGATACTTAAGATTTTGTGGATCTGTATTTGTTTTTAGCAATAAATTTAGGAAAGTGTGTTCAAAAAAAATGTTGTGTTGTGTTGTTTTACGAATTTTAAAGATTAATCGTTCTAGTGGAAACGGTCAGTATCATTATGCAAACTGAAATAATACTCTTTGATGCTATATTATTAGAGTTTATTTTGTAAATATAGCAAAAGTACAAGAAACAATACCTGGTTACTAAGCTGAAAATAATGGACATTTGAATTCTCATAAATTCGCATAACACAAGTTTTGCGCTTAGTTGTGCCAAAAAAATGCCATTTTGCAGAAACGTCAATACGAAAAATTTTAGGAATGTATGATTGAAATTCAAGACTACAAAGCGAGAATCCCCATTTTATGTATTTTAGCGTTGACCTAGTTTTGATTCTTGTAGGTAGAAAATCCCATTGGGTTCCGTCCAATTATAGTTTGTCTCCAAGAAACACCACGCATTCTTTGGTTCTCTCTTCCGGTCCAGTTTCCAGTGGAAATACGTATTCGGATTCTTTTGCTGGATTTGGACCCCAATACGGAGATATATCCGAAGAAGACAAGCATGTTTTGGTGCCAAATGCAGGATTGAAAAATAAAATGTGTGTTTACTGTCACAAACTGAAATCCAGGACAAAGTCAGGATGGTACATTTATACCCAGAACAGATGTCGTAAATGTGACGTCCCTCTGTGCAAAAAGAACAAGACATGCTTTGTTAATTATCATCGTGAGCTGGGTATACCAGAGTCGGAGTTCATGACACCTTATCTCAATTTCAAGTATATGTTGCAGTAAAATAATGTAGACATTCATGATTGTGTTCACTTTCGGAGCAATTTGTATCTAGGTGTGTAAACGACATTATTTATGAAATATTTTGAAAACTTGTAAAATACTTAGTACGTATATTGCAGTTTTTATTGAACGGCAAAAAATTCGAAGTTTTCAAGTGTATCTGAAATAGAAAATTAAAATTTTTAGTGTTAAACTGGAAGATATGTTGATGCGTCCGTAGAACGAGAGTATCCCCTCCACGTGCTACCTCCCAGCTGAAGTGACATAAAATATCTGGTATATGGCAATTAAACTGCTCATGATTCGGTAACAATATAAAAGCCACACAGGGGCTTGCTCCCGGCGTGTAAAAAATTATTTATTATTAAAAAAAATCTACCAACTACTAAAAACGTTTAGTTTAGTAGTTGGTATATGATTTTTTAGATAAATATAGTTTACAATCTTGGAGAAAAACCCCTGTGCCTAACCCAAATCCCATATAAAATCTTATCCTTATATGCGTCTTCAAGAAATTGCACAAAACGTATTGGGAACTACAAGCTACACATCAAAGCAATCACTACACTTGTCATTAGATCCAAATATGGAGGAGAATTGAACATGGCAATCTGATCTCGTGTAACATGGAAATACAAATATATTTTTAATAACACAGGTAATCATGTCCTCTTACCCTTTTTCCTGATTAAAAAATATGGTTTAAATTTTCTACGAGCTGTATTTTGCTCGCCTCGGCCAGAGGTTTGAATGACGCTGAGCTTTTCTGATGCGAGTTTGTCCGTCGTCTGGTAACTCATATTTTCGACGTTTTCTCCAAAACCAATGGAGCAAAACTGGTACAAAAAATCCTAGTGTGAAGAGGGTTCGAATTGGTTTGATTGCTTTACGTTCCTTCGAGATTTTTTCACTCATATTGGGACGCCACCAAATGAAGGTGGAAGGCTGCAAAGAAGATGGTCGAAAAATGCCTAAAGCTTCAATTGTATAAAAATCATTTGTGTACTAAGTATTTAGAGCAAAGTTCTTATCATTGAAAGGTATGGAACTATGACAAACAAAACTTTTCTGTGGCAATCTAATTAAAATTGATCTTCCGAATCCGCTTACCGCTTGTCAAACGTCTAACATCCCATACAGGGTCACGTAAGTATGACCTTTCAATTATGAATAAGCATGAAAATTTTGGCCAATTAGATTCAAGGTTTTGTATACGATTCTAAAAATAGTTCCACGGCTTCTAATGTTCATTAGTCTGCCTTATGTAGATTTGTTAAGTGTGGTATATAAATTGAATTTCTAGTCCGCCCATCCGCCATTATTGCCTGAATAATGCAAATGAAAAGGCACAAACTATACAAGATATCCTGCAGATCACATTCATACATAATTGTCTTGGAAGCGAAGACACAACTTAAAATATTATTTGGCAAGACTTTCACCTGCAAGTCCAGGGACGGCCAAAATGTAACAGGAAGGGAGAAAATTGCGACAGACCAGACAAGGATTCAAACCTGAGCCCCCTGAAACAACCAGTCAGGTGCTCTACCGAGCTATCTGGGCACCGGCGATTGAACCTGCCTGACCGCCACACTCCTCGATATTTTATGATAAAGGTCTTCAAACCCGAAGACACCAACCCAGTCTCTTCCCTGGCAGGTCCTTTACCTGTCACTTCCAGGGCATTGCACGGTACTAAATGTAACAGGAAAGGAGAAAATGTATGGCTGGATCGGGAATCGAACTCTACACCGCTAGTCGGGTGCTCTAACAACTGAGCTACCTAGCCTGATATTTATACAGGTCATTGTTTAGTACACAATTGCGTGTAAGTCTGGTGCGAGGATTTTGTTGTTGTTGCTATTGTTGTGCAAATATGCTTGTTCTGTGGAGTACACAGTCAATTTCGATTACTGAACTTTAAAGGTCAGTCGCGGACCTAATAGTTATTTCAATTTCAAAACTCTAACAGAGACAGTGCTTAGTACCCAAATGGCAATTTTTTTTTTTTTGCAAGTTCTCTAAAATAGGCGTTTTGCAAACAAGAATTACGTCCTGGAATGTAACGTATGAAATATACTTGTACTGTTGCAGAACCAAATTCCATAGCAAAAAGTCTAGGGTTTTCCGACCCCATTGTAGTACACGGAGATCAGATTCTATCACAAACTCTTTTCCATACAAATATACTTGCGCAACCAGTTCTTAGCCCATATCATATCTTAGCATTCTTTTTCTAACGTAGCAAAATTCTGCTCTCTGGGTAAGAAGTTTTTGCTTAGATGTGCAACGGGATGACGCTCTGACTCCCTGCTCTGTAATAAAACCGCCCCTACTCCCCTTTCGCTGGCATCTGCTTGCAAGATGAACTCTTCATTGAATTCCGGGTTTTATAGTACCGGAGAACTTAACCAAGTCCAGTTTGAATTGGTTGAATGTTTGATCATGTTCTTCAGTCCATGTCACTTTATTTCGGTGGGGTTTTTTTTTCTTGTCAAATCGGATGATAGAGCTGACTTGGTAGATAAATTAGGTATGATCTTTCTGTTAAAGTTTCTGGAACCTAGAAAAGATCTTGCCCCTTTCTTTTTGCTCGGAACTGGAACATTCGATATTGCTTGTATCTTCTCTGGTGTTGGGTGCACTTGACTCTTCCCGGCCTTAAAAACACCATTTGTTGTGAACCAAACTCACATTTCCTTCGGTTAGCTGTAAGACCTGCATTCTTTAAGAACTCGATATTTCATTTATGTGTTCCAGATGACTCTCCCACTGAAAATGATGATTTCATCAATTGTTTTACCACTCTGTTAAAAGCTGCAGCGGAGTTCATCCTTCCAAATGGCATAACCACTGTAAATCGGTAATGGCCAAATGGAGTCACGAACACACTTTTTTTTTCGTTTAGACTGATTTGCCAATACCCCTTTGTTAAGTTTAACTTACCTGAGTACTTTGCTTTCCCCAGTCTGTCGATTACATCGTCAATCTTCGCATTAGGTTCAGGGTCGAATTGTGTTACCTGATTCAGTTTCCGGTAGCTAACACAGAATCTAATGGGTTTGTCCTTTTTAGGGATGTTACAACCGGTGACGCATAGGGACATACCGAAACTTCCACAATACTTGCTTCTTACATCGCCGACAACTCCTTTCTCACTTCCTTCCTTCAAGTGCGTGGAATTTGATGTGGTTTTTGCAGTACTGGGGTATCACATGTAGTAACCATTAGGGATGGGTATCGCCAAAAA